TCACTGCTGTTTAGTTTCCTGTCTTCATTTATGTTGGAAGTGATAGCAGAGCTGTACGTTTGAATTTTTTCAGAAATCTCTCAGTCAGAACATGCTATATCATGCTTAGGCAGCTAGCGAAACTAGCGAGCTAACTTCCGCTAGCTTCCTGCTAACTTCTAACTCCGTTAAATGTAATACATTTTAATTTCATGGATGCCTGGAAGTTAAACTTCATAGTTACACCTGGTAAAGCAGCAATGCTTATCGTTTTATTAAAGATGAAAGAATTTAGACAGTTTTTAACTCTCAGTGATGCTGCAGTGTTCGTTTGACCTGAACGATACGGAGTTTAGGACCCAGATTACTCCCAGATTTAAGAACATGTTAGTCCGACAAATACGACAATAACGACGGCTGCTTGCATGTTCTGCAAAAAAATGTGCTTAGTCGTGTATCTGACGGACAAACACCAAACCAGTTCCACATCACTGAAATTGCACCATTTTTACAAACCAATCTGGTTCATCTGTTTCACTCAACAATCGGCCATGTGCGTATGAAAACAAAGGCACTGCGCATGCGCGTTTTACTCATATTCTATCGCGATATTTCATTTTCCTATCGTTGCCTAACATTATACCGGTATTACCGTGAACGGTATAATATGGCCCAGCCCTATCCAGTAGCACTGCTGATATATGAAATGGTGTCTTGAGGTTGTCTTCAAACAAGTGCATTGTACTAGAAAAAGGTGTTTGAAGGATTAAGAATGTAAAAAAGTAATGATTATTTTATATTTATTAAAAAACCTTTATGCAGAAAAAGCAAAGAAACAAAAACACATGGACACTTTTGGCCACAAACGAGCTGAAGGGATGGTGATTTAAAAAAAACAAACAAAAAAACCCCACTTAAAACCAAATTTATTTATCAGCAGCATCAATAGTAACAAAAACACAATTTAGTTTTCGCTGTCAAAGTAGATTTAACTGAAGTTACGTGTTTCCGTTACTGTGGAGGTCGCAATATGGCGCTCCCCAGTGGCTGCAGTCAGGTGGGGCCTGTCACTACCTAATCCATACCGGAAACCCGATTGGTACCCCGCATGCGCAAATCTTACGTCACTTCCTCTCTTTGCCAACATTGCGACATTCAATATATTTGAATGACACGGTTAGCGCCCAGTTAGCTCCTAGCATTTCTCAACAGCTCTGCCTCCTTTTCGACTACCGGGACATTTAAACAATGGATAATCCGTATCATCAAACATGGCCCTGGGTGAGGGACCAG